TCAGGAAACCAAGGAAACAAATTTCGAATGAAATCAAAAAACCTAAGCAAATCAGCAGTTTTAACCTTTACCCTTTGCGCCTTTAATGCTTTTTGTAATTGTCTAACATACACCTTATGACGACTCAATTCTTGTCCCATTATGACTTACCTCACAGTGACAGGCTATCACTGAATCAAGGGTTTCAGAAACGGGTGGCCACCCCTTTTTTTCCTCTGTTATAGCTCCTCACTGGATCCCCCGTGTCACAGGCCCCACGTTGGGCGCCACGAATGTCCCTTCCCTCGGGAATTGGGAGTCGGTCCGTGGAACCTGGAAGGGGGAGTGGGTGGGACAAGAGACGCAAAGGAGGGAGGCAAGACAAGGATCTGATCAAGCCTCGTTTTATTGCCTCACACAAGCTTCTTATATAGAAGTGTAAAAAAGGGGAAGTAGGGGGAGAAAAAATAAAAAAACAGAAGTTGTTCAGAAGTCTTCTCAGAATCATCACACCCGAGCGCAGCTTAGTTCTTGTGGTCAGCCAACTAGATTTTAATCAGCAGTCATAAATGAGAGCATGCAGTTTTCACAACTTGCTGGGCCACAGCCTCAGCTTTTTCCGTGCTCAGCCCGCCACCACTTCCTCATCAGGAAGTTGGCAGTCTGTCCTTTTGGCTCTGCAACTCAGGGGGTCATCATGAGAACACACAGTTCCCCACAAGATGGGACTCCAGAAGTCAGTGGGTCGGACGTGGGGCAGTTTGAGCTTAAGTGGCTCAATGCCCAGTGGCAGAGGTGCGTGCAGGGACCGGTGGAAAATCCGACCCCGTGTCCGATGCTCAAGAGCTGAGTGCAGAGGTGACCGCGATCCCACACGGACCAACCCACTAAACGTAGGCCCCGGACCTCGGGAAGGCCCGGGCGATCGCTGGAGTTCGGCGGGTCAGTGGGAAGGAGGGCAGCGCGCTGGGTGGACGCCGGCGCGGTGTCCGGAGACGAAGATCCAGAGCCTCAGCTTCTTAAGGACTCTTCCGTGGGGGGCGGGCCCTGAGAACCAGGAGACAAAGCCGGGCGAGGAGACCTGGTACGCCCCTGCCGCGGGAACCGGGGCGCTGCGCCCTGCGGCTGCTCCCTCCCCGCGCAGCGGGTCTCGGTCTCCCTCAGGGAGCTCGCGGACAGCGGGGCGGGAGCGCCCGAGCCCGGTCTGGAGGCGGGGCCAGGCCCGGAGGCGGGGCTAGAGCGGGCGCAGGCCACGCCCAGGAGGGTGGGGCGTCCAGGTGGGAAACTGCGGCGGCTTCTGCCACTTTGCTCCTCTGCTCTCCGGCTGCTGGAGAGACCGTAGTTTGGAAAGGGCGTGCTGGGGAGCCAGGCGGGGGCCGGCCCGGTGCAGCTGTCGGAGGAGAGGCGCTCCTGCACCGGCGCGCGCGCTCATCAACCCGAGACTGAGCAGAGACGAGTCCTACGAGGCAGGGGGAGGGGAGGCAGAGAGAGAAGCTTTCGGGTATGGCCGGGGAGCCAGCCAGGCTGCATGAAGGGCCCGCAGGAAGTGGGTCGGAGGGGTCCCTGGGGGCAGAAGGAGGGGGCGAGAACTAGAAAGCAGGCTTGGGGAAAAGAGGGGAGGCTCCTTTCATCCACCTGTTGCTTGTGGGCATGACTGCAACACACGTCCCCACCCCCGTCAGCTCACCGGCAATGATGGCCACGAAGATGTTGACCCGGAGCCCATAGAAGGGCCAGCGCAGAGAGGTCTGTGGCCTGTGCCATCTGCCTTATCATCGACTTCCCGAATATGAAGGCTACAGATAGGAGCAGCAGGGCTGCGGGTGAAAAGAGCACATACTGACTCAGAGGGAGAAATGCTCCCAACAGCGGCCCAGCTCCCCCCACCCGCCGCCCCGTCCCCTCACGCACCTCCCCCAGGCCTGGGACACACCTGTGCCTTTCCTAATCCTGTGGAAATGTTCACTTTTTCACACACAAACACACACACCAGCTCCCCAGCATGATAGACTGTGAAGGAATGGGGTAAGGGCGGCTCCAGGAACCCCCAAGTGGGCCAGCGAACCTCTCTATACCACCGCCACTACTCCTGGAACGTGGGACAGGGCGCCACTGAGAGACTTCTCCCACACCTATGAGGAACGTGCAGGAGGCAAGCTAGAGGGGCAGGAAGGGTGTGGAGCCACCCAGGAGGGACAGGATGATGGGCACCCGCAGGAGGCTGTGCACAGCTATGCCAAGGAGGTACACGCCGGGTGGCGGGGGGAAGAATGCAGTTACCTACTGCCAACTGTACCACTGTACCCACCCCCATCATCCTTTCTCTTCTGTCTTCCTTCCCCATCCCATTCCCATCTTCCGTCCGCTCTCTCCTGGCTGGGTCCACATTTCCCCCACATCTGCTCCATCCCCATCTAGCTGTGCTTCTTGCCACGCAGCCCTCCCAGACAGACCTGCGGAATGCAGACCCCTCCACGACCGCATGAACACTCTCAGGTCACCCCAAAATGGAAAGAGGCTCTAAGATAACAGAAACCAACGCCAGGAAGTCAGGAGACATAAGAGTCCCTTCCCTCCCTATCTTCTCAGTCTCTTTTGGAACATATGATTGTACTTTATGTCTTTATGTCTCCAAATTAACTCTTATCTGGTCCCGGTCTCCCCATTAACTCGATATTAGAATATCTGAATTGGAGCATGGGGGCTTCATCAGTGGCAGAACTCTGGTAAGGGATGATGAGCTGGGAGGGAAAGTATATGGGGCACATGTGTAGCTTTGTGTCTGTCTCTCTCTCTCTCAGCGTGTATCTCAGTCCTAGATGAGAGAGTGTATCTCAGTGTGCCTCCATCTTCTGCCAAAGAGGGAGAGGGGAGCTGAGTGGGGAGGGGATGCCCCCCACCAGGAAACTTACAGGAGCACGTGCACCAGTTCCATTCCCACTACCACTACCTTCTGTTCTATAATCCCTTTGTTGCCAATCCTGAAACCTCTTTTCCCAGATCTGCCAAGGACTGCTTCCTTCTTGTCATCTGGTCTCAGCTCAAATCTCAAATGTCATCTCTTCCAAGGTCTTCCCTAAAGGCACCCCCCCCACACACACACACACACAATCTTCTGTGTCATAGCCCTTGTATTTTCCTCATAGCACTTACTGCTACCTGATTTTATCTTACTAATTTGTTGACTTGGTAATCCTGGCCCCTGCCCCTAGAATGTAGGCTCCCTGAGGGCAAGGGTCTTGTCTTTTTCATCTCTGTATCCCCAGATCCTAGATCAGGGCCTGGCACATAAAAGGCACTCAATAAATAGGTGTGGAATTGAATTGAACACAGAGATGCCTGACTGGCCAGTAAAGGGCATTCATGGCTGACTAACTGACCTTTTTGTCCTTCTTGCTGCATATTCATTCCCTGCCAGAGCCCTGTGTTTTTCCTCAGCCTGCAGCAGTCCCCAACCACGGCTGCTGCAAACCCACTGTCACTACCACCACATCAACAACTACTGCTGCCACCTTAGATCCCTCAGGAGCTGTGGGCCGAAACACCCAGGCTTTGCACCTGGTCTCCAAGCCCCAATTCCCAGCAGATCTGAACCTTGTTCTTGACCCCCTTCCAATCAGTGTGACCCACCCCACCCCCCATTTGGAAACCACTGCTCCTTTAAGCACACTCCCCTGAAGAGCCTGAAATACAACTCCACCAACATTTATTGGGGGTTCCCATATGCCAGGCACTGTGCTAAGTAAATCTCCAAAGTCATGCCAAATGCCAGTGCCCTTCTCCCTCTGAATCTCCCAGTGTCCCTGCACCTCCTGTGGTCAACATGGCAGTTTCTGCCCTGGACAAGCTGCCATGCATGAGCTGAACAGACAGTGTGATGGCCTAGCCCATCAAAGGCCTCGTCCCAGGGCTGGGCCCTTACCCACCAGCAACCGTCTCCATCCCTCACCTCCTCTGGCATCATGCGGGGCAGATGCTCATCTGGAAGCAGATGCTCTGGATGGGGTTGGGCAGCCACGCCAGTTCTCCATTCTCTCCTTACTGTTTGGCCCAGTGTTTCTATGAGAGGACCAGGATGAAGGCAAGAAAGCCCAGGAAGCTCACCAGCCAACCTGTGATCCACAGCTCCCGAAGATCACAGGTTTCTTCACCCAAACCTGGGACCCAGAGCTGCTCTGATGCCCAAGGCTGAGGCTGGCTGACTGACTACAGTCCACATTGAGGTATCTGCCAGCAGTGATTATGGAGGCCAGTGTTTGGGGCAAGGAGAAGAGCCTGAGGACTTCAAGGAGCCTGGGGCCCCAGCTACTGGCCATCTTCAGTCCTTCAGGCTCCTCTGCCAGGCTGCTTGGCTGCTCCAAAACATCACCCTCCAACTGTCATAGAACCTGGCCTCCAAGACATCCTGAACCCAGGGTTCTCATCCCCAGCTCTGGCCTTTGACTGCCAAAGCGCACCCAGTATACTCTCTTCTGGAGCTCAGATCTACTGTATTTCTTAGAGAGAATAATAGGAAAAATGAGGGATGAAGGAAGAAATGGAGCACTCAATCATCTGAGGGGAACCACCACACACACCCCATGTGCAGCAGAATTGCCTGCCCTGATACATATACACACATGCACACATGCAAATGCACACACACTGATTCTCTGAGATGCACACTCTGGGTTCTTCTAGAAGGAAGGAACTGGCCTGAGAGGGCACAGGAGATACCCCAGGAGTGGAATCTATACTTCCCAGACTCAAGGGCAGGACCAGTCATTGCTGTAGAACCAAGCAGGGTGACTGCTCATTCTTGGGTACAGTCTTTGGCTTGATGGGTCCCTGCACATCCCTGTTGTCTATTTTATCCTTGGACTTTATCTCCAATGCAGCCCTTTTTTTAAAACAGCATTGACCTCGCTCCATCCTCCTTAGCTGTGAGCACAGCAGGGACACTCACTGGCAAGGGGCTTAGCCAGCTGAGTACCCATTGACCTCTCTGTGCTAAGCCTCTGTCTCCATTGGCAACACATTCAAGCCATCCTCTTTCCTTCTTATTGCTGTAGGCTCTGGCAGCCCTGTTTTCATTGGCTGCCATGTCCTGAAGCTTGGTCACTATTGGTTGCCACTAGAGGTAGTTTTTCCATTGACTGAATCCAATGGATGGATGGGCTTCATCCTGTCTGTGCCATGCTGCCAGCTGTCCCAACATGTGCTCCCTCTCCAGCCTTCATTAGGGTGGGGGGGCACTAGGGGTGCCTGAAGAGGCCCCAACAGCCTCGAGAAGCCTCTGGTGCTGACGAAGGTGTTTCCTCCTTTGGTGTTCCCCGGTGACTTCACACACCAACTGTGCAGGGAAGGCCCCAGGAAGCCCCTTCAGCCAGCCTGGAGAGAAAGAGACAGGGGCCCAAGTGGGGCTAGGGCAGGGAGCAGGTGAGGAGAAGGAGGCCCCATGGGGTGTCAGGCCTTGGGGATCATGTTGGGTGCAGGAATTAGTGGAGAAGCCTGGAGCATCGGCAGGAAGGGCGTCGGAGGTGGAAGAGACAGCGCATCAGTGATGGTCCAGGTTACTCCTCTCTTAAGCCCTGCAGTAGCTGCTTGTCTCACTAAGAGGCATAGTCCTACAGGGACCTGCAAGGACCCACGTGATCTGGTCTCTGTTACCTCTGTGACCTCAGTTGCTTCTCTCCCCGTTTCTCACTCCCTCTGGCCACACCAGCTTCCTTACAGTTCCTTAATCACACACCGACTGCAGGGTCTTTGCACTGCCTCTTGCCTCCATCTGGGACCCTTCTCCCCACAGATACCATGTGCCTAAATTGCTCACCTCCATCCAGCTCACACGTTGCCTTCTCAATGAGGTCTACCTCTGCCTCCCTAGTTAAAACTGTAACTCTACCCAACCCTGGAATTTCTGACCTCCTTTACTCTGCTCCACTTCTGCTTCTTCTGTAGCACTCACCACCTTCCAACATAATATATCATTTATTTATTGATTTTATCCTTTACTGTCTGCCTCCTCCACTAGAATGTATGCTCCAGCAAGGTGGGAAGATTTGCATGTTTGGTTCACAGTGCCTAGAATGGGAAGGGGCACTTCATAGGTGCTTAGTAAATATGTATTGAATGAATAAATGACTTTCTCACCTTCAGGGCTCTTGTGCAGGTGCTTGGGGGGAGCCCTGGACTCCAGACTCCGTCCCTCAGTCTTGACAGGTGCAGCTGGCTCTGAACACAGTTCCTGGGAACAGTCTGGTTGGCGGCAGGTGACATTACAGTGGGCTCAAGACTCTTTTTAGCTTTTCCCCCATACCCTCCTTAAGACTCACTTTTCTTTCCCTTCTCCCCTCTAAGGGATACTCACCACAGTCCTCATAGATGGTGTCCGGGGAGCAGGGAAGGGGGCCGGGGGTAGGGAAGGCTCCCAGCCAACGCTGCATGTCTGATCTGGTGGGGATACAACAGGGAGAAGATCACAGTTGGCCCAAGAGATCCTCCTGGGGGGTGAGGCAGGCGCCATGAAGGAGAGAGATTGGGGAAGGGGGTGGTGGGGTCTGAGAGGTCAGGTGAGGGTCACAAGGGTGTTTTCTGAAGGACACACAACTCACAGGGACGAAGCTTGGAGTAGCCGATGGGTGGGGCGGCCCTGGTGATTGCTGAGAAGAGAGAGGCGGAAAGTAGGGGGTCCAGACGGGTCTGGAACCTGCTGAGCCTGGACCAGGGAACGATGAGCATAGTCCAGAACCTGTAGCCGCTGCCCACTGCCCAGGGAAGAGAATGTTCAGAAGGACATCGGGTCCAGCTGGATACCTCCTATCCGCCCCAGCCTGGGCTATCTCCCTCCCTCGGGCCCACCTCTTGGGCTGAGTGATGAGTAGCAGGTCACTAAAGAGCAGCAGGCAAAGGGGGGTGAAGCGGGGACGTGAGGTGAAGAGCATGCCTCCCCTCCGGCACCCTAACTCAATCAGCTCCCCCTGCAACTCCAGGCGCCGTGACCAGGAGACCAGGGGCAGGGCCTGCAAGGAAGCAGAGAAGAGGATCTGGTTTCGCAGCGCTATGGGGGAAAGGCAAGATGGGGATTTGGGCATGGACTGACCTTGACTTTGTGGAAGCGCAGCCTTTGGGTGAGTCGGATCAGCTCTTCAGTCTGCTTCATGCGCCCCACCTCGGCGCTACAACGCTCAATGATCTGGGTAAGGGGAGCCAAGTCACCCACCCCAGCAGCCAGCCCCCTACTCCCTTCCATCTCTCCCTACCACCCTGTCACCTCCCTCAGCCTCAGCTTCCCTCCTGCCCACCTTGCTGACAGCACCCAGGGCCTTCTGGGCATTCTCCTGGCGGCTGGACCCCTCTTCTGTCTGGCGCAGGATATTCTAGGGACAAGTAGGAAGGGTAACTAGACCCCTTGCTCTGTGGCCCCGGGGTTCAGAGGGGCCACAGCTCAGAGGACTCCACCTGGCTTGGCAAAATGCCCAGTTTGGGGTTCACGGGGCTGGGAGACCAGCCCCAACAAAGCCAAGAGAACTCACTGCTCACCATCTGCATAACCCCAAACAAGTCATGTTACCCTTCTGAGCTTCAATTTCCCCATCTGTAAAATGGGGATAATACCCACCTAGCATTGTTATGAGGATTCGAGGAGTAATGTATGTAAAATACTTAGCACGGTCCTTGGCACATAGTAAATGCTGAAAAGAAGGTTGCTATTATTTTAATAATTATTAACTACAACTATTAGTGCAAGCAATATAGCAGAGTAGTAAAGACTGCCTGGATTTCAACTTCATCTTTATTTATTTCTGCATGACCTGGGGCAAGTTATCTAACCTCTCTGTGCCTCAGTTTCCTCATCTGTAAAGTAGGGTAAATAATAGTTCCTACTCTCACACAGTTGTCTGTAAGGTTAAATGGTATGTAGTACTTAGAACCGTGCCTAGGACAGCACACTCATGTTGAACTACTGTGATTAGTATGATGATTATTATTGTATAGTGTCTACACTGGGGATAGAGAAAGCTGAATAAGACATAAAGAGGCTAATAATCTAGTTGGGGACTCTTCATGTTAATATCCCCACACTGGGTGACTTGGTTAGGGAGGAGTCTCTACTTTGCAATAGAAGAGTGTTTCTCAGCCTTTTTTTTCAGTGTCACCCCAGTAAGGAGCTTGTTTTAGACACTTTTTTTCCCTAATCGTACCCCCACAACATGAAATTTTAATTCCACAGATAGAATTAAATTTTATCTATCTAGTGATCTTTTTATGTACTATGGCCCTTTGGAGTACCACAACCACTGGAATATCTAAGATTTTTTTCACCTCCTCCAACCCAAGAACCAATTTTTGCCATCTTGGACGTGATAACACCCCTGTTGGGAAGGCATGCAGTAGAAGAACGCAGCTGGAGGAGACCTGAGAGCCACCCCTGAGACCCAGAAGGGGAAGGGACTTGCCGAAGGTCACTCAGCTTGTTGATGGCAGAGTTAAGTCTAGAACTCATGTCTCCAGCCAGAGGCCCTTTTCCTGCACTCATGCAGAAGCATCTGGGTAACTCCAGGTAGAGCCTGATGGATCCCAGACTGAGAGGCTCGGATTAGGAGGCCTGATTTGGGGGGTTCTGTGTTCATGACGGGGTAGGAAATGATGATGGTCGGACAAGAGTCTTCCAGTGGGGTTCGTGGGGCAGAGAAGGCCCCCGGCCAAGAAGCGTACCTGCAGCAGCATGCGGAGCCGGGTGATGCGCTGAAATGGCAGCAGCAGGAAGGATGGCAGGGGGAGCCGCTCACACTTGGGGAGGCTCTGCAGCCGGCGCAGCTCCGCGGAGAAGCGCATGTTCGTGTCCCTGCAGAAGCAGGCCCAGAAGCTAGCGGCTGCCTCTAGGCCCTGATCCCCCAGCCCGCTCCGGCCTCGACCCCAGCCCTGCTCCCCAGCTTCCTCCCACACCTCAGGATACTCACATTAGGCGGCTATAGGTCTCCTCCTGGTACTGTTGGTTCCGCACATAATCCACATACACCGAGAAAGGACCCACAGCATGGGCATGAACCACGTCACACAGGTCGCTGATGTGGGGAGAAGCACGCACACGTGACAGTAGCGTTCCTAGAAACCTGAAAGAGTGGGGGAAGCCAGCAATGGAGGGGGGCAGAGGGAAGAGCTGGGATGGAAGGAAGGACCAGGGACAGGGAGAAAGCTAAGGAAATGGCCAGGATTCCTGGGAGGACGGGCTCCCACTGACCGCTCACTGACTCCCTGGACTCGCTGCACATTGGAGAAGAGCGTGTGATGATCCCGGGGGGTGAGCGTGTCCCGGAGTGCCTGGCTCAGCACAAAGGTGTCAGTCAGCAGCCGCAAGGAGCGCAGGTAGGAGGCCTCAGACGTCACCACCTCAAACAGGCTCTAGGAAGAAGGGCAGGGCAGTAGCGGAAAGCCCAGCTCACCACCAGCCTAGAACCTGGGTCATTCTCCTCCCCTACACCCAGCCTGCCCAGCCCAACTTGGGTGTGCCCACCTCCTGCATACGCCTCTCCTGGGGGCTGAGGGTGTCCAGGAGGCCACTGGCTCGCACAGCCGGAAGCTCCTGCCACAGGGTGTTGCGAGGTCCAGGGGGCCGTACAAAGGTGGGAGCTTCTCCATGAATTGCTGGAGAGGGCCCCCCATCCTCGCCAACTCCCCACAGCTCCTCTGACAGCACAGCTGCTCGGTAGGTCTGGTACAGAGGTTCTAGAAGGCAGACATAGCACATCAGGAAAGTTCAGTGCCCCAGAATCCATCCCCACTGCTGGGTGGTCACAGGAGGAACCCCCAGGTCCAGAGGCCCTCACCATCCTGCAGGGGCAGCTCCCAGTTCTGCTCCTTTAGCCCCTCCAACACCTCCTCGTCCCTGTGGAGAGAGAAAGCGATGGGAGTCCCAGGGCCACTGCTGCCACCCACCTCCAGGGGATGCTATTCACATGATACTGGAAAGGAGTGCAGAACCTGCTGGCAGGTTGTATGCCAGGACCCTGAGGGCTCTCCAGATCAAACCACAGGTTTGTTTGTTTGTTTTACATGCCTGTTGTAGGGGAGGCCCTGAACAAAGCAGCCCCATTCATTCCTGTTACTTCAACTACTGTGTGCCAGAGACTTCCAAGTCCCTATCCCCAGACCTCTCCCGTAGCAACCACTTTCTGGAATATCCTATTTGTGCCTTGATGAAACTCAACATGATCAAATCCAAATTTTTACACCTTCCCACCACCACCCACAACTCTCTTTCTCCTCTGTTCTGGTCATCAGCAACACCACACACACACCCAAGCTAAAAACCACACTAGTAAATGTTTGTTGAATAAGTGAATGGACACAAATTACCTCTGATATGATGGTGAATCTGAAATGATTAACAAGCCCAGATAACATAGAAGAGATGGTCATGGTTGTCAAATGGGTTTTCGGACGTTAATTGCAGTAGAGGCTCAAGGCGAGGGAAGGGAGTTAAAACGGAGCACTTTTACTATGGGCCCAGCTCTTTACCAATATCACACCCCAACAACTCCATGAAGTAGTTGATATGCTAATCCCCATTTCACAGGTGAGGGTGCTGACACCCAGAAAGGTTAAGGATTTGGTCATCTAACTAATAAGGGACAGAGCTGGGATTAGAAACCAAGCCTGCTTGTCTCTAGAACCCAGGCCCTTCTTCCCTGCACCTTTGTGGAGATGGGGTTTAGCCGGGTCTGAAGGTTAGCCAGACCTCAGGTAGAAGCATTATGGGGAGAGAAGGGGGCAGAAAGGGTGGGGCGTTTGGTACCTTCCCTCCACGGTTCCTGGAGGAGCCTCGGGAGGAACTTCATCAGGACTGTCCCCTGGAGCAAGAATCCGGAATGAATAGAACAACCCTCCAGGATCCCCAGCCCGCGACCCCTGACTCCAGCCCCAGTAGAGACTGTTACCATAAAAACTACAACTCCCGTCTGCCCCAGAGCAGCCGCAGGTAGAGGAACAAAGGTCCCGGGGTCTGCTGGGGGTTGTAGTTAGTCGGTGTTGGACCGCTCCGCCTCCACCCTGTCCCTCCACTCCCCCAGGCCCTGTACCTGTTTGGATTCCATCTTCGGAAGGCAGATCGAGATCTGGCTGTGGGGGGTCCCCAGGAACGGTGGCGTCCTGCCTGACCCGAGTGGGTTTGGGGGGTTTGAGGGGCGGCAGGAGTTTGCGCTCTGCAGTGGAGCGGTAGGACGTCAGGACCACTGGGGTGTGACCCACGCTTGGAGGGTTGGGGCGGGAGCGGGAGGCCCGCAGTGGGGAGGCCCTGGAGGGGGCCCTGGGGCCATCCTCATAGCCCCCCACAGGCACCCATCGGAGCTCCAGGCCAGGCCGGGCTACGTGGCACACACAGGGGCAGCAGGGAGGGCAGGCCAGAGCAGCATCTGCGGGAGACGGGGTATCCTAAGATAAAAGCCCTTATCTTAGGATAAGGCTTTATGGGGTCTGGCTCTACCCACCCAGGCCTCCTCCCGATCCTTAATCTGCCCAGCAGAGGGAACATAGAGGGCCAGCCCCAAACATCTACAGATCTCCTCCACCTTGATTCTCTTCAACCCCCCAAACATAACAGAAACCCGATTTTACAAACACAAAATCCGTTTTTGAAAAGATAGCCCCTGAAAGCTCCCAGTCTTAAGGCACTGAAAACAAGATGAGCTGGACTGAGGCCGCCTCAACCCCACCACGCACTTACCCAGGGCACCGTTCTCCTGGGATCCACTCCCAGGGAGGGTGCCCGGGGGAGCCTCTCTCTCTCCGTTCACATCTGCTCCCCCTTGCGGACTTGGCTCCGGGGCGTCTGCAGCCTGGGCCCTGCCTTCAGCCCCCCATTCAAACCTGCCAGCTAATCTCCGCACAGTGCCAGGGGCTGAGGCAGAGCCATCCTGGGCCAGGACTCCGGCCACGGGGAGCAGGGGCAGAGGCGTGTGGGGTGACCCGGAGGGCTTGGGTGGGGGGACTGGAGACCGGGGAGCAGGTTCTGGGGAGACAGAGTGCTGGGACACTGGACTGGGGGACCTAGAAGGTGAGTCTGGGGAATGCTGGGCATCGAGGCTGGCTCTAGAAACTGAGGGGGGCAGAAGGGCAGGGGGCTTGAGGGATGCGGCTGGGGGCTCCCAGAAGATGGAGGTGCACATTGGGGTTGGTGCATCACTGGAGATGCGGGGAAGTTCTTGTGAAAAGGAGCCGTTGTGGGGAGGCCCTGGGGATTGGGCAGCCCGGGGCCGAGAAGGGGGTCGAGGGCGGATGATCCGAGGGGGCTTCTGGGTAGGCGGTGTTGCTGCAGGAAGGGACTGGGCTGACATCTTCCTCTGAGCTCCTCAAAGTTGTGGGGTGCTCTGCTGAAGTCATTCCCTGAGGAGGAGGGAGGTAGAGAGAGGGAGATTCTTAGTGTCTCTCCCCGAGGAGGATGGACTGAAACCACCTGAAGCCATGACTTTGGAGTCAGCAGGGAAGGCTGCTGCGCTCCCCGCTTCCTTCTCATTTGTCTTCTCAATCCTCCCCTTCCTCCTCCCCGCCTTCTCATTCCATTTTCTGAGGCTCCTGGACCCTCCTGGGCAGACTTTCTTGGCCTTGCCAGCCTCCATTTTTTTCTCTATCTTTTGGCTTCTGCTGCCACAGTCAGGACAGAGGAAACAGTGAGGCTGGGGCTGGGGGTGGGGGTTGCAGCTAGGTAGAGACCTGGGTTGCAGGGGCGGTGGGAAATACCAGAGAATCAGTAAGATCCAGTGAGGAGAATTTGGCATGCCAGAATAGCCACAACGTGGTTAATGAATTGTGTCAGTGGTGTGTGTCGTGGAGGTTTGTGAGTGTGGTTTAGGTGCGTGTGCTCTATCTAGTGCTATACAAGTAGGGTGTCGTAGGGTGTGTTGCGAGAGTGTACTCATTACTTGCTTACAGGGCTGGTGTGCAGTGGGAGAGTGAAGTATACAGTGTGTGAGGTTTGTGTGTGTGGCCGGTTAAGTGTGCCATGTGAGTGGATGAGATAGGGGTGCAGGGATGTGTGTGGTCAGTGCTGTCTGGGTGGAGTGTGTGCTTGGGGGGTGCAGTGTGTGTGCGCATGCGTTTGTGTGTGCTCGCGTGTGCATGCCTGTGCCTGGGCTGTGAGGGATGCATCACTGTTTCCCTGCTCTGATGGGCCCTCCACCCCCCATTTCCCAGTTCCTCTCTCCGGACTCTCCCTTTCCGGATTATTTTTAGTCTCCTTTTCCTGCCATGAAGATTCCTGGAGCCTCTGACCCCAGGAGACCAGGAGACCAGGAGGCCCCGGGCATGGTCTCTCCTGCCTCATCCCTTGTCCCACTGTCCCCCAGGTCTGATCACAGAGAGAGGCCCCAGTGGAGTCCTGGGTCCTGCCAGGATGCCTGGGGAGGTGGCAGGAGACAACACTGAAGGACAGGACCAATAGGACCAGGATCCTAGGGCCTGGGCGTCTCTTCTTCCAGCGGGGGAGGAAGCTCCAATTCTGGGAAGGCTGCAGGGTCAGGGCTGGTTAACAGGGGAGTCCCCAAACTCTCTTCAGGATCCAGCAGGAGAGTCAGACCCCTCCGGGGCCCAGATTGGGTTCTTAAGAAATGGTGTGGGGTGGGGGCTGGGCACTGTAGACTGTGAGTCTTGCAGCTCAATGGCCTCCACATTCTGGCAGGAAGCCATTTAGCGAGGTGACCCACACAGCGGCCTCGACAGCTGGCCAGCTCTTCCCCAGCCCCTGCCCCCCTTCAGGGATCCCACCTCCCTCTTAGGTACCTGTATTCACTTCCTTCCCTACCCCCCACTCAGGCCTCTCCGAGGGACCCAGATACTTGGGCCCCAAGCACTCACCCTTGAATCCCCTCCACTCTCAGTCACCTCCCAGGGCTGAGTGAGTAGGGGCAGGAAACAGGAATCAGATCCTCCTCCCAACCGGACACCTCCCCCCGAAACCACACCACACTCCACATGCGCACACTGGGGCTCTGGAAGATGTGAGGGCCCCAGCATACCAGGGCTTGGAAGTTAATGGGTCTGGGGGAAAGCTGAAACTTGGGCATGAGGAGTGGGCTACTCTGTGTGTGCATGATCCATCTGCATTGCGGTGTGGACAGGGGGCTCACAGGGCTAGGGTGAGGATGGGGTGGTGATGGCAGAGGGGCTTGACCATATGGTGTCTAGATGTCTCTGTCTCAGCTGAAGAAGAGTGTGTGTGTCCCTCCACGGGTGTCTGACCATCTCTCCCACAGCTTGCACAACTGCCTGTCTCTTCAGCTTCCAACCTGTGCCCCTGGGTGGGAGCCAGCCTACTATGTCACACCAACCGACCCCCCAGCTTCCCTCCCTAACTCTGCAGTAGCTCCCCATGAATTTACCTTTATCTTTTTGAAGCAGTTTCTATTTTCAGCCTGTCCTGCCTGCCCCTTGGAGCAGGGAATGCGGACCGAGGTCTCCAAGTGTCTATTCCTGTGTTTCTGGGGCGGGAACTGAGGGCCCAGATTGAGATCTCTGCAAAGGAAGCCAGTTCCTCAGCCCCACCCGGCCATTGTGTCAGGCGTGTGTGTGTGTGTGTGTGTGTGTGTGTGTGTGTGTGCGCGCGCGCGCGCGCGCGTGAAGGAGGGAGAGAGGGCAAGGGCAAGATGGGAGTGGGGGATGGGAGATGGGGAGGGAGATCTGAAATCTGTCTCCTCTAGATGGGTGAGACACTTGCTAGGACCCCTGCCTGCTCAGTCCCTGTTTCTCTGAGTCCCAACCCCTGACTCCCTGTCCCACTGGGAGGCGTTCATCTTGACTGGCTGGGAGTCAGTGCCCCTGGGAGTAGGTAGGCAAGGGGGTTCCTGCTACCTCTAATTTGCTCTGTGATTGAAGGGCTGAGTTCCTGGGGCTAGGGATGTGGCATAAAAGCAACTGAGGGGGTGGAATGAATCACACCCCAGCCTGGGAAGCAGGGTGGTGGGAGGAAGATCTATAGGCCAGTTATGAACTCTGGGAGCCTTTGCCCAACCCAGGTGGCTGCCTTTGTCAGATCTTCATACACACACGCGCACACACACGTGCGCTCGTGCTTTCTCTCTCTCTCTTTCCCCAAACAAGACACTGGAAAGAAAATCCAGAAAGCTGGTATAAAAATATGTTTTAGCCCCCTTCTTTTCCCCAAAGTAAAAGCCCAAAGTTCTTATAACAACCAACAATGCCCTTCAGGATCTATCTTCCTCCCTAACCTCTCCTCTCAGGCACACTCCTGCCTCAGGGCCTTTGCACTAACTTTGCCTCCTTCGAGTCAGTGAGGAACTCACCTTCTCAATAAGGCCTGCCCTGACCACTCTTTATAATTGCAACCCACAACCTCACACCACATTCCCAGCCTTTTTTCCCATAGCAATTAACCTTGTAATATCTCATATAATTTACTTACATATTATGTTTATAGCGAGTTATCTTTTCACATTAGAAAGTAAGCTTCACGGAGGCAGGATCTTTATCTGTTTGGTTCACTGATATACCCCAAAGTTCTGGAACAGGGTCAGGTACATAACAGGTGCTTAATATTTGACAAATTGAATGAAATTGAATTGACTCTTCCCCACAGCCCACTATTCCTCTTATTCTCCTTCCCTACAGGCCATTTCCATAATTCTGTTGATCCCACCAGTTTCCTCCCCTCCTCACACACTCACACACACACACACACACACACACACACACACACACACACGCAGGCACACACACACACGCAGGCACACACCAGGACCAGGCATCCAACCTCCCAGCCCTCTCTAGATCCTTGGGTGTCTAGGGAGAGGAAATTTTCTCTCAAGAGTTTAAATTCTGCTTTGTTTTGTTTTGTTTTTACTGAAATGGGAATATCTTTATTCTTTTTTCTACTTACAAGAATAATATTAAAAAAGATAACTAACCAAAAAATGCTTGTTACTAGCTGCAAACATGGATGGTACTTGCTTCTGCATTAACCACTCTATGTCTGAGTGGGGATGTGCAGTCTCAAGAGTCGGGAGGAAAAAATAAAATTAAAAAAAATAATAATAATAATAAAAGGGGCCGGCCCGTAGCTCATTTGGGAGAGTGTGGTGTTGATAACACCAAGGCTGTGGGTTCGGATCCCTATATAGGGATGGCTGGTTGCTCACTGGGTGAGCGTGGTGCTGACAACACCAAGTCAAGGGTTAAGATCCCCTTACTGGTCATCTTTAAAAAAGAAAACAATAATAATAATAATAATAATAATAATAAAATCTGAAAAAGAGTCAGGAGGACAAGAGGAATTAGGTGGATTGGGTAGGTCCCTGACCTTAACCTGTCTTCTGTATCTGGTCTGAGCTTATCTCCTTTTCCTGCCTGTATCCCTCAAGACAGACACACTGGAGGCTTTCCACCTGTCTGTTGGGGAGACACATCCCTCATTCCCAAAGGCAGGAGAGCATATTGTGGGTAACTGAAGCTTCCTGGAACTACTCTGAGAATATTCCAACATTCCTGACAAAGAGGTTCCATTGGGCCCACTACTCAAAGCAACTGCAAAGATGAAAACAACGACTTTTTAGATCTATAAAAGTACCATCTATTTAGATGTGCCCCATCTCATTCCAGAAAAAACCCTGAGCTCTGAAAATCATTATGTGATATACACCAGGTTAGTTTTGCATGAACATATTTTATTTATTGTACAAACATTTTTGCAAAGCTACTGGAAGTTTTTGATATAATAATCCATTCTCCTACTACCCCCCACAAAGCAAAAGGTTTCTATTTTTCCATATTCCAAAGATACCAACATAGTTTCAAGTCTATATTCTGCCTTCTTCTCTTAGCTTTGCTTTGTAACCATTTTTCATGTTGCTACATGGTCTTTATATCTTTCCCTGAAGTATGTTGCATCAACTGGATTTTGCCATCCTGGTAACAGCAGTTTCCGTCTTCTAGGAAACCCTCTATCCCCCACCCCACTCCATGTGGTTCCAGTGGGACAGCCAGTCAGAACAGCTTACTCTGGCCACCTGATTCAGGTTCAGTCAATCACAGTACCCTATTCCTCTGGCAATAGAAACTGGCCCAGGAGTGAGCAAGTCAGGACAGCTTTCTGGGGAAAGAGAAGTTTCTAGGCCTCTGGGAAAGAGAAGCTTTCTCTTTCCTCCAAGCTCACAAAGCAGGAATAATGTAAGACTAGAGTTGTCTGTACCGTGGCCTCCCTTCCCCTATAAGTGGAGGGAACCAGTCAAGAGTGGGAGAAAATGAATCCCATATGTGAGGGAAGCAGAGCCAAGAGATGGAAGTGGGCCTAACCACGCCATTTGAGCCCCTTGGACTTCCCAGTTTCCTGAGC